CGGCTGCCCTATAAGATTGTTACTTCCACGTCCTCCATGTCTAGTGCATTAATTGGACAGACTTTATTTCTGTTTCATAGATGAACTGTAAAAACAGACTAAATACGGTCCCATTCGGTGTATCTGCAAGCATCGCTTACTTGCCGTCATTTGCCCAGTAAAGACAGTGGGGTGCGTAGTATGGCCGCACGGTACGGGACAGAACATAAAACAGACAGGAAACCTGTCTGTTTTATGCTCTACTAGGCTCATTGTATATATTTTTCAAAATAAAATTATTAAGATGATTTGTCTTTTTAATTCCAGGAATGAATTTTTAAATCCCGGAAATTTAAAAGGCGAAATCCTTGCCTGTCAGGGCGACGCGACGCCTTTATTTGCCCCCTATCTATCTACGGCCCTGCCTAACTTATACGTAATAAATCAAACAAAGTAAAATGTAACAGAAAACTGAGGAAAACAGTTACAATAATATTGTTCTACATGTTTGCCGTCATTGTCTAAGCACAAATTAAAATCTTTTTACAAGTTCGCGTCTTGTTGTGTTGTTTTTGTAACATTTCTCTAGTTAATGTTTCACAGGTTAATCTTATGTTTTGTTTTAACTGATAAATATTCTCTGGCCTTTGCGTGTATACCAGATTCTTGAGCCTAATTAGTTGATTGTTTTCTGTTGTTAAAATTTGCTTCGTTTGATTTATTAGGTGTAAGCTAGGTACTATGTTTAAATAAGAGTTAAATAATTAAAACGAGTATATGGAAACAATTATTGCAAAAGAGCAGTATTATTCCCTCGAAAAAGATACGACTACTGGTGAACTTATAACTGGCAAATATTTTGAATGACTGGGGTTATACCATGAAAAATCGAATGGAGAAAATTTTAAGAAGCTGTCGTTAAATACAGGTATATTTCGAAAAATATAAATAGGAGTTTTAACCCATTTATTGATTTAGAATGTAAAAAACACGAGGAATGCAAAAAATGATAATAGAAAAGGACTTGAAGCTAATGAAGCTATTCGAGAAAAACGCAAACAAAGCTTAGTTGCCGTTGAGAAAGAGCATCTAAATTAAATGATGGAGGTTTGGAATAAAGAACTGAAGGGTTACAAAGAAAATTTTATCATATGGCGGCGTTTCAACCTTGCATGGAAAGGAAGAGGCTGCTAAATGGAAAATCGATCACACACAAAACAGAATAACGGAAAAAGTCAAGCCAATGGCGTTATTACTTTAACAAACAAGACTAAACTCAAGTCTTTTTCCCCCTGTTCATTTTCTCCCTGTTTTAAACGTTTCACCCCTAAAAATGCCCATTCCCACCCCTACCCTACTTCCGTTTATTTGTTGGGGTCCAATCGATTTTATCCCCATTTATATACCATTAATAAATTACTCAGACTATCCATATACTGTTAGGAATTAAAAAAAAACTGTATTGACATTGGACTATTACCTATTACAATTTTTCATTGGGAATCAATGAGTCTCCAATTTGACGGACCTGTAAAATTGTCAGAGCTGATGTGTTGTAAATGCGAAAGTAAAGAATAAATTCCAGGACGGCGGCGCGGCGTTGGCATTTTCTTTTGTGGAAAAAGCTTCATATTTATGTAAACACCTTGTCTGATATTTCGTTCAAGACGACTTTATGGCTTCCCCATTGGCGCGGTGAATATCGGGCTCTTGTCAGCGTTGGAGTTTAGATAGAATGAAACTTCATATTTATAAAGCTCGGCGAATTGGGCTCTCCAGATAAAGGCTATTCATAAAAACTTTTAAACAAACTTTTGATAGCACTGTCATTCGCACCGAAGGTGGCTTTAAAATGTCATATGAATGTATCATAATATCGATAGCGTCAAGACCAGTGATCGTGTGTTTTTACACAATTATTAACAGAAAAAGTGCGTGAAATCCAGGTTCTGTAGCGTTCGTTTCGTAAATATGTCAGTTTGTTAAAAAATTTAAGAAACGGAAGGTTAGAAAACCCACCGGTCCAACGTCCAACCTACTTGAAGACGACAAGGCCTTGCTCCACGCCGTTGCATCCCTTTTCCATTCTATTTGACCATCACTTCTGGTAAGTCTTGCCAACGATAGCGAACGTATTTAAAGGTAAAGGTTCTCCACATTGCAAACAAAAGTTGAAACATTTTTAGGATAGGAGTGGTCCTATTTATATTATAAAAGCCCGATTTTTGTATTTATATTAAGCAAAGCAACTCGTTTTATAAAACGCCTACCTAGTCGTTTTCTAAACGTAACCGCAATCTGGCATCGGCATGGATCCCGGAGCCGGGAGGCTAGCAACAGCCTATTTTTTATTCCTAAAGTTGATATATTTTACCTACCTAAGGGCCGGTATATCCACCTCCTGGTAAAGTTCCTGTTAAAGTTATCTGGCTGTTAACATATCGGCTGGATACAGCAGTTTGTTTATGCGGCTGGTAGGACCAATTTATCCTGCTGTCAAAGTTACCAGGAGGTGGATATACGGCCCTAAGCCACACAGTAATCACCTTAAGCTAAATACATTTTAATGTGTTATTATTATCAGTGATACTGCCGTTATTGTTTTTAAGATTTAATTTGTTACTGTTATATTGTGTATCTCAACCCGTAAACAGTTCTAGATAAACAAATAGATACCTACCTACTTATTTTGTTAGACACACTCTCCAATTTGACAACAATGTGTCTCATCAAACTGAGTTAGATGTTTCAAATATGTTTATTAAATTTAAGGCATTACAATGCATGTCCCAGATGTCCCTGTTTGGAAGTTGAAAAACACCTCATCTCACGAACCTTTTTATAACTTCATATATACAGGGTGTTCGATAAGTCATGGATAAAACGAAACAAAGCAATAGAGGGACTTATTTCCATAAAAAAACTCCATGTTGTTATCATATTATTTTGTTTGCCGTTTTTCAAGTTGTTGCCTGTAGTGTACATGCAAAGGTCTGATGCTAGGTACCTGGGGAATACCTGCTCAATGCTTAGTGTAGATGACGTGGTACGGGAGGAAGATTTTGACTGATCTATGACTTATGTACATATAAATAAGAGAAACTTATATAATATTAGGATCCTATATTGTATAAAAAATCCAGGAAATACCCTATTTAAAAAATTGTAAACTCAAGAAGGGATATTTTAATGAGTCTGCGAATATTATTGTATATTTGATATAAATAAAAACTGTATAATGCAAACTAAAAAATAGTTACTGTTCTAAGAAACAATTAAAAATTTTATCGTATCGTCATCTATTAAGTTCGTTTTATGTTAAACATTTATTGATAATTATCTGAGACCATAATATTACCCTTACCTTGGTTACTCATATTACAGTAGATACAAACTAATAATACGTCTTTGATGATACGATAAAGCTATGAATATCACTCGGATATCAAATATTTAAACCATAATGAGTAGATTATCGGTTATGACTTGGATCTGAAAACTCGACTTAGGTCACGAGTCTGAGATAAATCTCGAAAAGCTTGTGAAAATAAAACAAGACGTTCATATAAAGTTTTTAAAGTTGAAAACGTACATGAAAAAACATAATATTGGTTTCGGGCACAAAATAATACAATAAAGTAAAAATAATTATCAATGACGAGTGGAACTAAAGAAATTGTTTCAGCATATACGCCATTTTACGGATGCCATTGTAATCGAAGCATACAACCCATTGTGCTCTGAATAAAAGTCAATTCCATGAAATGGAATAAAAGATAATCGTCGAGATAAAGTTGAGTACGCGATAAAAATTAACTAAAACAATGGATCGTACTTGTATATCATGATAACTGTAACATAATAGATATTCGAATGCGGCTGATGATACAGTTGGATATAAATAGGAATTTATATAGATATACACATCATGTCACCGTATCGGCTCCTATAAGACGGAGACACTTTCGAACTACGTGGATGACACCCGAAGGCTACATAAAACCACTTGGACGTGGAAAATGGTGATTCCTTAGGCATCTAATAATCTAGAAATGGAGAGATCGCTGGGCACTTGGTGAAACATAATTAATACTAGATTAAAGAAAAAAAACACTTGTAGGTTTCATAAAAATCCACGAAACCTACCAAGTGAAACCTACCAAGTGTTTTTTCTTTAATCTAGTATCTAATATCTAGCTTGTAAGCGTAAGTCAAAGGCTAAGTGATGCACTAGCAACGTGAATTTGACGTTGCTATAGTGTGGCAAACGGATCTGTAACAGCCAAAGGAATTCGACGAAAATATTCGGATATTGCCACGTTTAACTACAAAAAAGGCAATATGTACTGGGAATAAAGTAATGTTATTTGAAAATCAATTTTTTATAATCATAAATATTGACAATGAAAAAAGCGTATTTTTAAAAGAGTAATTTAACGTGGTTGTTATTTTTTATTTTTATTTAATAACTAGTCTTTAGTACTAAATGTTATAATAGGCAAACAATTTTTCCCAAGATATTATCGACTTCACTGAACCCGGCAACACCACGTGAAGGCGTGTCCAAGCGCATCTTGAACTAGCCGAATTGGTGGAGATCTTCGCACGTTTACTTGTTATGCGGAAATCGGACACGCAATTGGCTTTTTGTTGCTCTGGGAATAGAGATTGAAAGATTCAGTGACGGGATTTTTTATCTTTGACAATTTGTTGTGTCAATTGCATTCCCCTTACCGATGCCGCGCTGTTACAGATCCGTTTGCCACATGTGCACTACGTGTGATGTTTTGGTTTCCTCGAAACTGTTTTCTCGCCACAGTGAAAGAAACTATCGCAAAAGCAGTTGAACCACCTAAGTGGTACCAAACGACCTTTATGTAGAATAGATCTCTAGTTAAATATCTCTAGATCTCTAGTTTTTTTATAATGTACTTACTGGACAATGGAAACTTTGCATACGGCAGTGGTTTAATATCCTAACTCGTTAGAAAGGCTACAAATGCCACGATCGCAAGTGAGGGGTCTGTAGCTTAATTGGTAAAAGTGTCGTTAGCTCGCAAACTGGTGATTGTAGGTTCAATCCCTGCTAGCGGCCAGCAAATTCAGATCTCTTCATTCAGATCTCTTCATGGGTTAGATGGTAGAGCCTAGGTAATATACAAATGCGACTATGTTTCAAGCAGAAGTCTATGCAATTGAACTCTGCGTGGGGAGATTGGAACAAATGATCCCCATCCGCAGAACAATACAATTTTATCAGACAGTCAAGCGGCAAAAGCCCCCCCCCAGTAATTCAAAAACAGTATGGAACTGCCAAAAGGCTTTGAATCTAAGTCAAAGGAACCACGTGATTTCGGTCTGGATACCGGGTCACTCGTCTGGCCAAGAGGGCAATGAAATTTCTGATTCCTTGGTCAGAAAAGAACCCGAGTCCACATTTATTGGACCGGAACCGGTACTTGGCATCTCATACTGCCAAGATGGCAATCTTAAACTGGTCAGAGGGAGAAATCCTTCGGTGCTGGCAGAGCTTACCAGGTATGGACAATTCAAAGGCGTTTATAAAATACTCTAAGAAACCAAGAAGTGAAATGCTTCTAGGAGTTGGGCAGACAAAAACTTAAAACCCTTATAGGCCTATATATGTATAGGCCACTGTCGACTGAAACATCACATGCACAGCATTGGCCTGGTGGAAGACACCGAATGTCGTCTGTGCCTGGAATATGATGCGACGGCAAACCATATTTCTTGTGCCTGTCACGCAGTGAGATGATCCGATTCTCGGTGTTTGGCAGAACAAGGCTGCTGCCAAGAGGATCTGGACGAAATATCGCCCAATAAGGTTATCGGTTTCATTAAGAGACTGAACCTGCTGGGTGAGCCACAATAGATCGATGAAGGTCGTAGTGGAGGGCCTGTGAAAGGCGGATTCATGTTGAACCTAACCTAACCAAACCTAAATGGTAGAGTAGCCAATAGCTAAATCTCGCCCACTTACAAATGAAGGCATTAAAAAAAGTTGGCTAGGTAATTAAGACACTGTCGCTGTACCCGTTTGGCCACCAACCCAATTCGATAATATACTGGCTTTCTCTACCTGTTTTTTAATAATTAAAACATCGCAAATTCAACCCTCATGATTATGTCGGAAACTATATGAGACAAGGGGTCGGTTAAATTAACAAAGTTGAAATAAATTTAAATCTGATTTTGAAATCAAGGCTAACTGCGACCATTTTTCGAGTTATTTCCAAAATCGGTATCCAAAAAAGCGTTTCGATTTCAACCTTCTGAAGAAAACTTTCCGGAGTGTTTAGTAGTTTAGTAACTGAGACACGATTCATGTTGAACAAAACGGACCACAATAATTTCACCGTCTCTATATCCCTTAAAGTTTTCGCTATCAAAATTTTGGACACGCTGTATACAGACTAAGGTGTTCCAATTCTCATAAAACGTAGATTTGTATGTGGCTATTTCTATTGGGTAAACAAAAATACTGCAGAATATCAGTAATGTTTACATAAGTTGATTATCCCGATTATCCCTCTCCATTTTGCCATCGTTCTCCTTGGGTTCGCGATGCTATACCGTTGTCTTACCCCTTAATAAATGCCAAACATTACGGTGGGTAACATAAAACGACCAAATTTACCGAAAATTATCACCGCTGCCTCGAATTTCGGCAAACGCAATTTTCTCCACTTACGAAATTTCAGATAGGGGATGTTAAATCTGAACATGGTCCTATGTCTTAACTAACTTCTATATGAGTATTATGATAATTCGTATCATTTAGGCACTGCTTGTGGTTTAAAATGAAGGGTTGGCTTATTTACTCTTGGCTCTAGACAGAACTTTGTGACTCGTTTTGCTTTATTATCGTTCAGGGAGAATTATATTCAACTTGAATGAAGATGACTTGGTGCAAGATATTCATAGTTAATAAGGCAAACAGTTTTATTAACATTGGTCCGATTGTTAAATAAAAATAAACGTATCTTGGCGGTGATTTATTCCTTAAAAAACTTCGAGGGTTTAAAATATGATGTCAGTCTTTTCCTGTTCTGCTTTCCGCTCAACCTTACATGACAACGTTTTTAACCGTTGTAGCTTGACTGGTGGCGGGGTAGCCTATCTACCGTAGAGCCTTCTGTTCACAGCTTATTTCAACGATTGAAATCTCTACTTTATTTTCTCTGAAAGCAATTTCTATAAAGTCCGCGTCACCGTTCTTTGCGTGTGTACGGCACAATCTACGCAATCGGTACTATGTAACTCAGGTGAACATATTGACTCTATACGACTCCTACGTTCAAACAGTCCATCTACGGGTTTTCATTAATTTTCGAGTCCCACGTGACAACGTATGTTAGACTATCTACCTACACCATAAGTATTTATAAACAACAAAAGTCACTAACTTGTCGATGGCGTTCCGTTAGTCAGTTTCACGGGTTGTATTAAAAATTTTAATATCATATTGAAGTAAAATAGTATTATTTAAAAAGACAATCCGCCACATGGGACTCGGGAATTAATGCAAACCCATTTTCCAGATTTTTTTGTGCCTTCATTTTGTTATGAAAAAAGCTATTTCGATGGGAAATCAAATTTTCCACGAACAAGTAGTCTTGTGATGTTTTAAATTCCGCTTACTTTTAAGTTGTATCTATTGAAAAAACACTTACACCCCGTTCTCAAAAATTCACCCTAAAATTTAATAGCCCAATAGCAAAGGGTCGTGGGAGGCACATTGGGGTGTTAAAAAATCAGTTCGATGTCCCTTATCTTCAATTAGACTATGTACAGCTGCTCGCAAATTACCCTGTATTCGAGCAATAAAAATATATATAGCACTCCAGTTTGTTTACTTGCCAACAAATAAGACCATTCTAAGTAGTGTAATTCTCTTTGGCATGCAACGTCGTCCGTATACCTTTTTTAAATTATGAACAAGTAATGCTTTTTCAAGACAGAGATTCGTTAACCAAACATACAAACAATTATACCTAGTTATTCAAAGATAATTTGAAATTTTCCGACGCATTCCATGAGAAAATTTAAACATTTCCGACAGATCCCACGAACGTATGGACCCTACAATAAACAGCTGTTCAAATTCGTCATACAAATATACATACCGGCCCCATGTTGACGAAGCCGTTCCTCTTAGCCACTTGGTGGGCCTCGTCGACGTCCACATCTCTGCGGAACCTGACGAGGAAGGAGTTGCTGAAGAGATCGGCACCAGCAGCGAAGAAGACACAAATCGAGACCAGAAACAGGCAGGAAGGCCTCAGAAGAAGAGGCATCGTCGGGTTACAGCTGAAGGCTCGCGACTCGCGACTGACGGGACGCTCGGTGACGGCGTCGGTGGCGTCGCGCATTCCGACGTCACCGCATCGATTTTGAAGGGCCGGCTTACGGTCGGAAGTTCGGTTCGATGTGGATTATTATAGGGACATTCTACGAGGGATTCGGTGGGAAAGACAACGAGGGACGAAGATGCCGGATAGAAAACGAATACTAAACACTAAAAACAATAATTTATGTGCAATTAATTATCCTACTAAACAACTACATTAATAATTCGCAATGATTATGAAATATGGCCAGTTTCTGAAACGTTAAATGGAACTAACCGTTAAATAGAGAAACTGTATGTGATGGAGTATGACTCTTTCGTAAATTAGAGAAATTAAAAAATATTTAATAGTCGTGAATCGTGAACAAGGACTTGTACCTGCATAATATTTAAAGTGAAACATTTTAATGACACTGTGACCTGAACACTAAACAACGCGGCGATCCAGCTGTTTTCTAACAATGTATCTAATGTAATTGACAAGCATGACTAGCATTTATTTTGTTAATTCAAAATTGTTAAATTCAACTATAGCAGTTTGCATTTAGCACTTAATACAGGCGGCAGCCTATTATTTAAACTTAAATTGGATAAATAAAGTTTATATTAAATGAATATGTAGTCTTTGGGATTATATTTTATTGAATAGGTGTTTTTTAAAACTGAATTAATTTTCACTGTTATAAATCCGTGTCAGAGCCACAAGCGATAATTTCTCCAACAGAATTTTAGAATTAGAACGAGTTAACTAAACGTTTCTTATCCCAGAACTGACTAGACGGAGACTTTTAAATGCCCTGTTATTCCAACAAGACGGAGCAACGGCACACACAGCCAGAAACTCCATGAGGATATACTGCGAGAATTTTTTAACGGCCGTATAAACTCTTGATTTGGAACTTTGCTTTGGACCTCTAGCCTCTAGGTCCCCCCGACTTAACTGCACCCGGTTTTTTTCTGTGGGTGTACTTAAAGGAAAGGGTCTTATAAGTCGTCCTGCAATAGTTGAGGAGCTAAAAGACCGTATTCGAGAAGGAATTTCAGGGATAGATAGAGATTTGTTTGGCCGGGTGATACACAATTTTGATCAAAATTTAAAATTGTATTCAATTTTATGAGGGCATTTAAAAGTCATGATTTTTAAGATTTAAACATATGTTTCAGTCAGTATTAAATCCCATAGAATAAGCCATACAATAGTGGAATAAAATATTTTGTCCACGGCTGTTAAATAATGTATCCATTATGTATGTGTTTCCTCAAGAATAATGCTATCCATTATTAACTAGTGAATAATGATTTCATTATTCACCAGTGAATAACAAGGACCGTCAACTCTTCATTACAAATCATATTAGTGACTTTTTACTAAAGATTTTAAATGCCAAAATTGTAGCAACCAAAAGAGAAGTTTTTGTCTCTATACGTTTTCTAAGAAGAACTCAAATGAGCTCTCAAAACCTACATACTACTGTACGTTCTTTCAAAGCATCAGCTAGGTATTAGCAACAAATACTGGCAATCTTAACGTTTTGAAACCATTTCCTACGGACCACATACTTTATTTTATTAGTAAGCGATGATAAGAATGTGGCAAAGGTTAATTTTGATTTGATTTGAATGGTCAAAATTTGTGTCATATTTACTTCATTTAAATTTGTTAGCTGTTTAAAATATGAGGATGTCTAATAAAATGACAAATAGTCCTGATAAATGTCGCTTAT